AAACACAGGAAATTAACGAACAAAATGAAAGGATAATTTGCCTAGAACAGTCAAACTGTCACCGTAATTAAGGGTGATTTTCCTGAATCACTCTATGCAAGTCTAAGGCAACAGAAATTGCTTCTCAATTATGAATACCAGAAGCCTAATAAAACTTCAGTATTATGGGATAACATTCCTAAATCCGAAACTTAAATGCTGGTTTTGGTCAACCCTAGATCACCCGATATCAAGCTGCAAACTTCAAATCCCAGACAATATTCGCTGCTAGAGATGATATGATTATTGAACCTCTTGATAGCTTTGGGAATCAAGTGATCCATAAAATGTTATTAAAGCCTCTGTGACCAATTAGTCACGACTCACTAGTTTGGTCACTGCCACGCCCATTCTTTTGAACTAAGTTAAATATGAAGGGCATATTCTTTGTCCATGCTTCTCTTCCTCGTTTTGGTCATTGCTAAATATGTAAACCATGTGCATTTAAATTTTAACATTCCCCCTTCCCTGCGTTGCAAAATTTTCAAACTGATGCCTGCATGATGTATTATTTTTCGCAGAGGTCTCTTCCTATATTCTGTGAATAAACCAAAAAATTGCTGATCGTAAGAACATTTAAGATATTTTCTCCTTTTATAATCTTAACATCTCCGTAATTGTTATGGACATGATATATATATATATATATATATATGTAGTCTCAGGCATTTGACGTTGTCCTCATCCAGTTATGTATGAGTCAATATATGCTCCTGATTTTCCCTCTTTCCACTTTGGCGCCTTGCTATCAAGATTAACCTGTACAAACTGTCCGGTGAGTCCGTGTTACCCAACAGTGTTGAGTTAACATCAGTGATGAAGAAATGGATCTATGCTGATTATGTGAGGCTTCATACACATGATTCCAGTGCCTTGACTGTCGCAGTACCAATCTGTTGGGAAGGTTTGTCCTTGGATTTTTTTTCTATATTTTTTGTTCAGAGACAATTTGTGTATCCCTTGTTAAGCATGTGAATGAAATCTTATATTTTGTTGGTTTCAATTTCATCCACTGATTCTGTTCCTTCGTTCTTTCCTTATTTTTGACAGATCCCTTGCAGAATAAGCAGAGTAGACGGGCTCTTCATGAAGAAAGACCCATTGATTTTAGTTACCATAAGTGGGCCCATTCAGGGGTTCCCATGCTGATTTCAGCTGGTGATGACACCATACTTTTTGTACATGCTGTGGAGGGGTTCACTAAGTTCTCAACACATGATATCTTCCCTGCACCACAGAGAACACCCATTCAACAGGTGCTGAAAACGGTCTTCAATCCAGCAGCAATGCTTTTAGTCCAGTATTTTCATTGTTTAGATATTCTTTCTGTACAACCAGAAAAAAGTTTCCTCCCTGATGCTACATGTCTCAAAACTGGAGGCTTTGCAAAAACTGATCTGCTTGTTCAAGTTAAGAGCAAGTCATCGCGGAAGATAATTTGTAGCACCGTTGCTAATTCAGGTGTACTATTTGCATATTCTGTTCATGTGAAGCCTAATCTAATTGAATTGAAGTGGTCTGAAGTTGGGAAAAGTACATGGAATGTTAGGAAGGGGCAACTCCCTGTGGACTACCATTTGCTGATTGTATGATTTTTAATCATGATTCCTCCCAGTCGATGGTAGTTGGGCATGATTGAAGGATATATGTAAGTTGGCACAATAACTTTTGTCTATGTGAACCTCCAATTGTAATTTTCTGTAAAATATGGTAACTTGAAACATTTCTTTGAATGGTTATTTCTTATTGATGTTTGCTTTCTAGTCTTTTTCTTGAGTGCCTAGTGTGGCTGTTACATGATGTGATGACTGATGAGTACACCTTTTGGCTGAGCACTAAATACTTGATAGTAATTAGTAATATTGGATACTTTCAACTACAGATTTTTGCGTTCTGTGCTGCAAATGAGTTGATATTCCAACGTGAAGAATATATTTATTTTTGTTGTCCAATTTATCATTTGTTGATTGCCATTCTGTTCCCTTCCTCACTATAAACTTGGCATTCAAAAGGTTCGACATTTGAAGCCAATTAGTATATATGTTTGTACAATAAACTTCTAATTTCATTTTAAGTAAACTTGCCTGCCTGTGGTGTTATCAAAAGTGAAAGGACAATTTGAGCCATCATGTCTCATTGTCTCTGTATGTGTGTGGTTTGTTGATATGTTTTGCTTGAACGTTGTAGCTTGTGGAAGTGGGCAGTTCAGGGTCAGTGCATGTCTTCACCCAATCCGCGAGATGCAAGATGAGGCGTAACCTCCTACCGAGCCTCCCATAACAAGAATGTTTACTAGTTCTGATGGGCAGTGGCTGGCAACTGTGAATTGCTTTGGAGATGTCTATGTATTCAGTCTTGAAATGCTAACGTTTATTACTTTGCCCTCTAAATATCTTAAGTAATGATTTTTCCTTTTGAACCTTTCATAATAGGCCTGTCCTTGCGGTTACAGCATTGCAATTGGCTAGATCATCTTGCTAAAGAAAGAGAGCAAAGGGAACATTTAGGAGGCTCATGCATGTTTGTCCATTATTTATTTTTTTCCTGCCCTTCTAAGATATGAAAATGCTTGCATTTCACTTTCTTGAGATTCATATTATGCTTTGGTAGTTTAAAACTTCAATTCTTTTTACAGGCGGCACTGGTTCATTTCTAGATTAGATGGTGCCTCTGTTACTGCTGGTGGATTTCCTCCCCAGAACAACAATGTTACTTATAGTTACAGCATCCTCAAATCGAGTGTATGCGTTGGGTGTAGAGGCCAAGCAGTTGGGAGAATGGTCAATGCGGCATAGATTTGTTCTTCCAAAGAGATTCCAGGAATTTCCTGGTGAAGTTATTGGGATCTCATTCCCTCCCTCCCCAACTTCGTCTTCTCTTATTTTTTACAGTGCCAGGTATGATAGAAGTTTGATGAAAACACCAAACTAAATGAGAAAAGTAATACTTGTCATCAGCGTATGTGTTTTGAGTTTGACTTTTGAGTATTAGAAACTAACGTTACTTCAATTATAATCAATCTATTGCTCACCTTACGGAATACTGATACTGATGTATCAACTGTTCATTTATGTCGTCCTTTCTTAAAGTTATTAGTTGGGCTATATGCATGACCTGTTTGAGGATTTCTGACCGCACAGTACATACATAATGCAGATCCATGCAAAATGATATAGTAGTGCAAGAGAAGACAGAAAAAACTTAAATTGCAAGTGCCAAATATAAACTTTAAATGAATAGCATCACTGGTCTTTTAAAATGTCGCAAAGTCAAATGCTTGCGTTGGCATTTCCAGCTAACTGGATGTGGTGGTAATATTTTAACACTGAAGAAATTTTGGCAAAGTTTAAACTTGTCTATAGCCATTCTTTTTTCTTTCTCGAATGGCTCACGATATGAGAGCTCAGAAAGATTTCGTCTCTAAAAAGCAGACTGAGCGTTTGGCTTTTAAACTTTTGATAGTTAACGATGACTGACTGGAAATGGGGACATCATGGAAAAACTTGGCTATATGTTTATTGTTTTGGCTTTCCATCTATCTGATTCCTGAAACTTGATCTGCCTCAGGGCGACGTCTTTGATCAACTTTGGGTTGTCAGTGGAGCAAGAAGATAGTGATAGGAGGAATGTTGAAGTTGTTCCATTCACGAATCCTATCTTATTTTTGTCACATCTTTCAGAAAATTCCTTGTTATTAATAGAGAAGCGATGATCACAAGTGGTTAATAGCTTTGAAGCCCCACTTGTCCACAGACATATTTTTGGGACATAACAGCCTTCATAGAAATAAAATTCCTTTTATCCTGTTTCAGTTTTCTTTCTTTCTTTGTTCTTTTTTCTTTTTCTTCCCAGCAAGGTTCCATAATATTTTTTTAATTTAAATAAATGATGTTTGACGACTTCATGTGCATCTGAAATTTAACTCTTGAGTTCACCTTATTATTGAAATTATTGACATCATATTTTCGTCTCTGAGAAAAATGTAAAAAAGGCGTTAGCATTAGGCCATGGCCATGCATAATGGAATATTGATAGGAAATTGAAAGAAGCAATGATCTTGAAATTTTTGTGACATTTTATAAATTGGAAACTCGTGTTATTATTTTTTTTTTTTTGGGACTTGTATCTCATTATCTCTCATTTATTTTCTAAATAATAATAACTTTCTTTAAGATTCATCCTACCCAGTGAAATGAACTGAACTAAGTTTTTCTTTTTCTTTAAATTATCGTCATGACCTTTTCGTTAAGAACCAACTAAATAATATTTTTTTACCTCCTAATTATAAACCAACTTGCTTTGACTCCTCAGTTATTTATTAATATTTTCTGCCCACTGTTTTGTATATAAAATCTCGCCGTCCAAAAATTGGTTTTATAATATAAGGTGGACTCAAGAAATTAATAATGATGTCCTAATTCTTTTGAATATAAGTCATTTTTATTTAATGGATAATATAAAAAAATAGTTATGTATTAGTAGATTTTAGTTTTTTTTTTCAAACTTTATCCATCTTTGTAAATGCATAAAAATAAATTTTATTAAGGGTGAATAATTTTAATATGATTAAAGTAAATATTTAATCCTTTAATTTTATGCAATATTTTATTTTAATTCCTTAAATTTTTAAAATATTTTTTAATTCTTTAATCTTAATATTATTAATTTTATTTTAACAAATTTTATATTAAATGTTTAAATATTGACAAAACATTTAACTGAGTTTAATTTTTTAAAAAATAATAACAATTTATATGAAAAATAATTATTTAAAAATAAAAATATTAAAAAATTAAGAGTTAAAAAAATATTTTATAAAATTAAAAGATTAAATTAATATTTTATATAAAATTAAAAAATAAAAAATAAACTTTACCCTTTTAATATTCTCAAAACACGGTTGGCATATTCTGGAAAGTTGGGAGACAAGCACAGGACTAACCCCGAAACTTCCTCGTAGTTCTTTGATAACTCTGTCTGTTTCAAAGAACTTTGACAGATTTTCTGATTTTCTTCAATTTTTGTCCAGACCATCCATTAACAATCTACACACTCTGATCCAAAGTTTAATAGTTAATACGGGCTTGTCGCGTCATTTATCTCCTAATTAGTCTTTCTTCAAGTCTTGTATTTGGTAGCTGCAACAAGAAGACACTTTCTGCACATCTATGTCGGACTCTGTTTTCATCCTTTTTGATTAAATCTTGTTGCTATAGTGTTTGGCTCCCTCCCGTTTATTTTGTTTTTTCTTTCTCTTAAACTTATCCCTATCTATTCCTTAAACTACACCAAGATTTTTCCCAAACTAGCCAAACTACAGTGCTTGTTCTTTTTTAATGGCATCTTGTTCTCTTGGCATAAAGTATGATGTCTTCATCAGTTTCAGAGGCACAGACACACGCCATGGTTTTCTTAGTCATCTGAGGAAGGAAATGCGGCAGAAACAAATTGATGCCTATGTGGACGACAGGCTTGAAAGTGGAGATCAAATATCACCGGCACTCTTGAGAGCCATCAAAGATTCACTCATGGCATTGATTATATTTTCAAAGGATTATGCTTCTTCAAGGTGGTGTTTAGAAGAGCTGGTGCAGATTATTGAGTGTATGGAGAAACAAAAACAGATTGTAATTCCTGTTTTCTATAATACAGATCCCTCTGATGTGAGGCATCAAAAAGGGTCTTATGGAGATGCTTTTGTCAAACATGACAAATATTACGAGGAAAAGGTTCCAATCTGGAAATCAGCTTTGAATAAAGCAGCTAATTTATCTGGGTTTCATTCATCAAATTATGAGTAAGTTCTTCCCCCCTAACAGTTTTCCCCCCAATAAGTGGTGATGTTACTGAATTTCATAATCTTGCTCTTTTCCTGAGGTTACAGGGATGAGGCTAAGCTTATAGAAGAAATCGCCAAGTGTTTGTCAACAAGGTTGAATATTATGTACCAAAGTGACTTCACAGGCCTTGTTGGAATTGATAAGCGGATTGCAGATATAGAATCGCTGATGAACCAAGGATCAGAAGATGTTCAGGTTATTGGAATTTGGGGCATGGGCGGTATCGGTAAGACAACTATCGCTACTGCTGTATTCAATCGATTTTGTTTTGACTATGAAGGATATTGCTTTTTGGCACATGTGAGAGAAGAATCAGAGAATCATGGGATCATGTATTTGAAGAATAAAATTCTTTCTATTCTACTCAAGGAAAATGATTTGCATATTGGCACACCAAATGGAATACCCCCTTATGTTAGGAGAAGGCTTCTTCGGAAGAGGGTACTTGTTGTTCTTGATGATATTAGTGATTCTGATCAACTTGAAAATTTAGTAGGAGCACTTGACTGCTTTGGATCTGGTAGTAGAATCATTATAACAACAAGGGATAAGCAAGTGCTAGCTAAAGGAGTTGATAAAGTATATGAGGTCAAGCCAATGATGTTTGATGATGCTGTTCAACTTTTTATGTCAAATGCCTTTGAGAACACACATCTAGACATGGAGTGGATTGAACTATCAAGGAAGGTGATAAGTTATGCTAAAGGAATTCCATTAGCTCTTAAAGTCTTGGGTTCTTTTCTTTACAGCAAGAGCAAGGAAGAATGGGAGAGCCAACTTGAGAAGCTCAACAAAATGCCACATGCAAAAATTCAGGATGTGATGAGATTGAGTTATGATAAACTAGATAGGGAGGAGAAAAACATTTTCTTGTATATTGCGTGTTTCCTCAAAGGATATAAATCACAGCAAATAATAGTTTTACTAAATGCTTGTGGTTTTTCAACAATCATTGGGTTAAAAGTCCTTCAAGACAAAGCTCTTGTAACTGAAATCAAAGGATCAAACTCAGGAGCTTCAAGAATATTTATGCATGATTTGGTACAGGAAATGGGTTGGGAGATTGTTCGTGAAGAATCAATTCATGACCCTGGAAAACGTAGTCGATTATGGGATGCTAATGATATATATCAAGTGCTAGAACATAACATGGTAAAAATTTTAACTGTATAATTATATTCTTTCAAATTATCTTCTTGTTTTTCCCTGATATGCTACTTTTGCTTTTCAGGGGACTAAAGCCATTCAAAGCATAACTCTGAATGTGGCAAAAATTGAAGAGCTTTGCTTAACTCCTCAAGTCTTTGATGAGACGTCAGAGCTAAAATTTCTTAAATTTTCCCAAAATGATACTGATGAACAAATCCTTCGCCTTCCTCATGGCCTTGAATCTTTGCCAAATGAACTGAGATTTCTTCATTGGGATTGCTGTCCTTTAAAATCCTTGCCTTCCACATTCCGTCCAGAAAGTCTTGTTGAACTTAGCATGACTTGGAGTCGTGTGGAAAAACTTTGGGATGGAGTTCTGGTACGTATCAATCTACATCTTCATAAATAAACAATCATGATATAGTTTTTCTTATTTTGTGTCTCTGGTTAAAATAAAAGCTCATGCAATGTTTTGTCTCTTATAAATGTTGCAGCGACTTGTGAATTTAAAGAAAATTGACCTCAGTAACTCCAAGTATCTAATGGAACTCCCAGATTTTTCTATGGCCAAAAACCTTGAAGAAGTAGAACTTTACAACTGTAAAAGCTTGCGTATGGTTCATCCTTCTATTTTAACCATCCACAAGCTTGTGAGTTTGAACCTATCATACTGCAAATCACTTACCAGACTTAGAAGTGATGTCCATTTAAGATCCCTGAGTAATCTTTCTCTTGGTGAATGCTCAAGGCTGAAGGAATTCTCAGTGACATCAGATAATATGAGGAACTTGAGTTTGGCAGGGACAGCTATCAATGAATTGCCTTCATCCATGAGGCTCCTCAACAACCTTGAAAAGTTAGAACTACATCGTTGTAAAAATCTTAAGAATCTCCCAAGCAAGTTAGTTAACCTGAGTTCTCTTCAAGAACTTCGAATATTTGGCTGCATGCAGCTTGATGCATCAAATTTACACTTCCTATTTGATGGCTCAAGGCTCTTGGAAACATTGTTGCTGCAAGATTGTCATAATTTATTTGAACTTCCAGACAACATCAGATTCTTATCCTCATTGCAGCATTTATCCCTAAACGAAACAGATATTGAGAGGTTGCCTGCAAGCATCAAGCATCTTCCACAACTTGAAAAACTTGACTTGAGTAATTGTAGGAGGCTTCAGTCTTTGCCTGAGCTTCCACTAACTATTAAAGAACTATACGTCACTAACTGCACTTCCCTGGAGAGAATAATGTTCTCTTCCATGGCTTCTTATCATCTGAAGGAAAAAGTACGAATCAGCACTAGATTCCAGAATTGTGTGAACTTGGATGCACATTCACTCAGAGCTGTGGGAGTAAATTGTCATGTAAACATCAAGAGATTGGCATATGAACATTTATCAACTCTAGGAAAAAGCAAGATCCTAGATGGTCCTGTTGATGTTATTTATCCAGGAAGCATTGTTCCAGAGTGGTTCAACAACAGGACAAGGCAGTCTTCAGTAACTATTGACCTTCCTTCTGCTCCACCTTCAATGTTTGTGGGTTTCATTTTTTGTGTGGTTGTCTGTAAGTTCCCATCAAATGACAAGAACCTCGTCGGATGTGACATCTACTTGGAAAGTAATGGTGAAAGGGACAGGAAAATGGGTACGTGGACAAGCATATCTGCTTGTGAATTTATGTCTGACCATGTGTGTCTGTGGTATGATGAACGATGTTGTCTGAAAGCAATTGAAGGCTTGGAATTAGATGAAACCACGAGTAAGAAAATATCATTTGAGTTCTTTGCTCAAACTGGAAATGTTTGGGAGAAGAAAAAGGATATTGTGATAAAAGAGTGCGGAGTTTGCCCCATATATGCCTCAGAGTGTAAGAAATTCATTGAGCAAATGGACTTGGAGTTGGAGTTGGAGTCAGAGCTTGAAGCAATTGAAATGGAAGTTAGTGGAAGGTTTGATGAGAAGAAAGATGAGGAGGAGGCAATTTCTTTAGGTCAAAGATCCAGTCAAAATATGTTTCCACCACTTCCAAATGGAACTTGGAAGAAAGCGACACAAGGCTTGAAAGATCTCATCAATCTGTGACTACTTCAAATGCACCAGATTCTCTTCTTGCATGTCCAGGCTTCAATTCGATTTCTGGTTGAGACCTTGTAGTTTGAACATCTATTCACATTTTAGTTCAGTTTTTTTTTTTTTCTTTTTGAATAAAGATGCAAGTACAAAGCCTTGGGAAAATGTAAATTGACAGAAAAGAGAATAAATATAAATAAATCAAAACATGTAAATGTTGAAGTCCTTGCTAATGAAAAGAGAGTTAGAAATTTAATTTCAAACTTTAAAAAGTTAGAAGTTAAAGCTAACTCTCAGGAACTTCATTAAACCAGCCTTTGAAAGGATAAACGAATACTCAGGCAATTAATATTTTCTTTCAAATGACATTTCATAAAAGCTTTTGATGTCATCGTTCCTTCCTCCTCCGACTTGAACACACCATTGATTTATCAGCATGGTTGCTCTCTTAGCGTCTTACGTGTTTTCCACGAATCCACGCCCCTAAACCCTCACATTACTCCCCGACGTCGTCATTGTCAGTTGTCTCACTTCAGGTCTCGTCGTCCTTTAACTGATTAATAAGCGATATTTCTATATAAGTGAGGTTCGTTTAGTATCTTAAAATGGGGTTCTTGTTGCCTGTATATATTTTCCTCACCAGATGTTTTATATATGGCTTCTTGTTTTGCCTTTGCAATGGAGTTTTTTTTTTTTTTTTTAAGTTCTGATCCCAAGTTTTCTTTTGTCGCTTTATGGTATACTATTTTTTTTATTAAATAGAATTTTAGGGTGGTTCTTTTAAGTGGACTCAATATTTAACAATTTAAAAATATATATTTATGCTTTCAACCAAAAAAACATATATTTATCTATAAATTTTGAATATTTTTCTAGGTAAATTTAAGAATTATAGTTTTAAAAATTATAAAAATCACTTTAGGTGTCAACTAGAAAAATCTATATTCTCTGCATTTGGTTTGTTCTATGTTGGCTTTTTTCCCTCAATAGAAATGACTTTTTCACCACATTTTTCTTCATATAGTTTGTTTATTTTAAAATTATTCACCTTCAATTATTGTCAAAAAAATGGTTCCCCTCCGACATTAATACTTTAAATTTTAAATTTAATATATTCTTGATATTGTATTTGTTTAATGTTTAATGTTTGATTTTTTATTTAATTAACTTTTGAGTTCCTCAATTATAATATCTGTATTTTTTAGCCAAAATATCTATTATATTAAAACATGATTTATATAATGTAAAATTGTTAAATTTTAAAGAGTTTGAATAAACAGTTCTTAAAACAATAATTTGCATTTTGGGTCAATAATCCATTCAACAATTATAATAATAAATTTTCAAATGAGAATCAAGTACAAATCATACATTAAGTTCTCATGTGAAAAACTGGTCAAAAAAAGTTCTCATGTGAAATTCCTCGTAATCATGCACACACACTTCCAATATCTAAATTAGTTTCAATTAACCATCACGATTGAACACAATTCACATTGCATTCAGTACGTACAACTCTCAATAGTAGATGAAAATACATGGCCAGCAATTATTCTCAAATCATCAGACATTTTCTTATTCTAAAAAATTATCCATCACATATGATTATCCACAAGCATTTCACTTTACAGAGTTATTCTCATAGAATTGTAATATTTGAAAATATATATATATATATATATATATCATTCACATATCAGGCAATTCACTAAAAAAACAAAATCAAGCATGCAAAGTAAATTACATGTGGTTGCTTCTGGTTGAGCACAATCAAAAATTTACCCGTGTAAGCTCCTTAGCCGAAGAATAGCAATTATTGAAGTTAATCTGCAAAATCATAATAATTCCCCAAAGATTCCAAATAAATCCCAAGGGCCTTCTACAAATTTTAAAAGAAAAATATAACTTTAAATCCTTACACTTTGCTCGTATTTTGCTATTGATCCTGTATTTTTTTATATTTTAGGTCTCCATACATTTTTTTATTTTAAGTCCTTCCAATGTTCCTACACTTTATCTATAAAAGGATTTAAAACACTATAAAATAAAAGTATAGAAACTTAAAACATCGAAAAAAGTGTAGAGACTAATAACAAGATGAAAATAAAATATAAGGATTCAAAGTTATATTTTTTTCAATTTTAAATTATAGATTTCTCCCAACTATCATAAATAAACTTCAGTTTCTCACCTTAATTTCTCAATCCATCACTTTAAATCTCCCAGAAATTCTAAAATTCATTCTAACCATGTTTATGCCATTTCATTAACATCATTGGGTCCAAGTAATCCTTTACCAATTAAAACCATCATCCAAATCAACAAGATTCATTAATTAGAGCTTAGGATTTGCTCTAATATGCTTAAAATCCTCAAATCCACAAAATATACCATTTAAATACCAGAGGTCTCTAGTTAGCTTAACCATCATATTCAAACCAAAATTAATCAAAGGAAACATCAAAGAATTCGGAACCCTAACTTCTCCACCAATTATCAAACTCAAACCAATCCAAACTTTAGAAACGAAAGGTAGATTAAAGCTAACAATCAATCATTAGGGGGCTGGGGAGTCTTAAATCATGCTCCAAGGCTTCAAATCCACAAGCCCCAGCCGCTTCTCTCTCTACCCGGTGCCCTCTTTTTCCTCTCCTGAAATTGTCACCTATTTATAAAAATGAGCAGCAATGACATGTGTGACTGGTCATGCATGTTATTTTCCTATCCACATGTTTATGAACAATGAAGCGCGTTCTTGCTTGTTGGTCTGCGAACATAACACAGACTCTTCCTTCTGTCCACAACCACATACAGATATGGTCCTTCATGACCATGTTCACCGACAGGCAACCTAGAACCAAAATACCTTCCAAAAATCACCCACTAACATAATTGGCTCTAAAATCAACCTTAATTAAGTTCTCGAATCAAACTCCACTAACTCTTAAGTCCTCAATTACAAATCAAGATGTTATATTTGATATCATATGTAAACACTAAAGGGTTGTTTGATTGGAAGGGAGGAGAGGGGAAAGATTTTACCCCTTCCATTATTTGGCTTGAAAAATTGGAAGGAAAGAGAGGAGAAATTTTTTAAAATCTTCCCTCCAAATTGGGGGGATTGAAAGGAGAGGGATAAAATTTTTCATATTTTAACCAATATAACCCTTCATGATAAGTTAAAATACAAATACACTTCTCCAATATCTCAATGCTAATATAATTATCTATATATAATTATATTCCATCCCCTCCCCTTTTGGATCAAATAAGATAATATCAAATCTCTTTCCTTCCTCCATTAAAACTCCTCCCTCTCTCCCTTTGAACTAAATACACCTTAACGTACAACATATTAATTACATTGCAATAGTTTTGTGGTGTTTCTACACAAAGAATAGCCTAGCTAATGAGCACTTAACCTATACAACCACTCATCTTTCACTGGCATACTTATATTCTACAAACATTGATTATATACCTATTCTGACACATAACTAATATCTTAATATACTTTTCAAACCGGTGTTGAGTAAACTTAGTTTTAAGTTTGATTTTCTCTCTTCCTCTCCTTAAATCTAGATGTTGTCCTCCGCTACTTATCCAAGTTAAAGCATTACTTCATGGATCTGTTTCTTCTCCTTCCTTTTTTTTTTT